TTTTAGAGTGTCTCCTTTGAATGTCATTCGATTATTGATTCATTGTGGAGTAAATGTTAATACATTTGCGTACATAGACGAACGTTTATATGTGAAGGCAGGTTTATTACATCTTGTCGCATCTAGGAATGATACTGATCTTACTCAATCTATTATCGAATTGCTTATTGCATCTGGCACACATACTGATTGTCTGGATGATCAGCGACGTTTACCAGAACAATGTGCAAAACATACTAAAATAAGACAATTGTTACATTCAAAACGATCAATGTCACTTAAATGTCAATGTACGCATTTAATTATCTCACAAGAAATTCAATATGAATCATATTTATCCGAAACTCTGAAGAAATTTATTCTTCTACATCAATTTTAAACTAGTGGATATGGGAACTTCCCAAAGACTAATCTAGATGAGCTAAAGATTTATTATAGTAAATATTATTGTTTTATTTCCACTTACGTTTATAAATTCGGTAGACTTTAATATTTATAATTTAATATTAATTTACAAAATTCTCGGTGAATCATGTCTTGATAGTTCTCATTGTCTGTATCCTCACCCAAATCCTCATGGGAGAGAATTTAATTCTGGAGCTGGCTTTGAAATCGGAGCTGCCCATCTCTGCTTATGACTCGTATTACTCGAATACCTTTGAAATATGAGAAGTTTTAGAGACTAACCCAAGGGGGAAACGACGGACTTCAAGTATGAAAGTAGATCAAAATCCAAAAGTAACTTCAAGTAGCTCAAAGTACGATGAAAGTATCATCAAAGTATTTGGAAAGTAGCTTCAAGTATTTCATAAGTATCGATAAAGTATCAATGAAATAGCTCAAAGTACATTTGAAGTACCAGGAAGTATTACAAAGTCTAAAAGTCTGCCGTTTCCCCCTTGTCATATGTTCTTCCATCTAATCATATGTACTCTGTCAACTGATTTTCCATCACGTTATATAGATTCTTCTTTTCGCTTCTAGTTAAAATTTGCATATTATACATATAGTTGTCGGTTTCATATAATAAAAGCAGAAGTAATATATCATATTAAATACGTACATAGTTATTTCGAATAGTAAAACGCTGACTAACAAGTTTCAGCTACATATGGTAGCTTCGAAAAAAAAAGAATCTTAATTCAATGGAAATCAACGAAATGTTCAACGATTCGGAATCCGAATTCGACCATTTACATACGTCGTCAACCGACGAAGAAGAGGGCATTGTATCACCGACTATTCGGGAAAACGTGCTCGCAGAAAGTGGCCTCAATCTGGCTTCGATCTCGAGGACTTGAAATTTTCCGATAGAGCATCAGGTGTCGACAAAGTATTTGAAATCAAAGGAAACAAATCATCTGACTATTTCAAAGCATTTTTCGACAACGAGCTAACAATTATCAACAGCAAAACGCAACACCAAATGTTTCAAAAACTGTAGTTTGATCCGATACCAATGCGGAAGAAATTTATATCTCTTTCGCTACTACTATTCTGATGGGATCAAATCAAAAGAATCGCATAAAAGATTATTGGTCAACGGATAAGCTGACAACAACACTAATTTTTGGAGAGCTTCTCACAAGAAACAGATATCTTTTTTGCTCTGCGATATCTTCACTTTGCGCATAATAACACGGAACGAGAAAGTAAACTACGAAAGATTCAGCCAATGATCAAAAATTTGATGAAAGCTTGATGCTTTGTAAAGGTCGCCTCAGTTTCAAGCAATACATTTCATCGCAAAACCGCCGTTTTAGCGCGAAGCTCGTCCTATTATGCAATTGTGAAACCAAATTCGTTCTGAATTTTATTGTTTACACTGGAACAGAAACAGAAATCGACGAGTATTCAGACGTTGGAATACCAGGTTCAGTAGTGCTAACATTGATGAAAACAATTTGAAGAAAAGTCATACACTCTTCATTGACAATTGGTACTCCAGCTAGGGATCGGACAGTTCAGTTTAGTTCCAAAGAACTGAACTGTCCGACCGCTACTGGATATCACTGTGTAGAACTATTATTCCATGTACAAGATGAAAAACGAAGAAAACTTCGAACTTACAGAATTTCATCTTCAACTCGCGCGAGAACTCATAGAACAATATGGATCAATGCGACCACAAACGAAGGGAAGACCACCGATATATTATCCGATGCGCCTCACTGCTCCTCATTTCATTGCTTTTATTCCCGGAGATGATACCAAAAACGTTGTTTTGTCTGCAGCCATACAATGAAGCGGAAAAAACCAAGTGTTACAAGATTTTACTGTCCAGATTGTGACATTCCACTCTGTAATCCTGACTGTTTCAAAGAATACCATACTTTGAAAGTCTTTTGATATTCATACTTTTGATGAATCTGACAAAAAATAAATAATTTTTTTGAAAGTTTAAACTTCGTAATTTTTTCCCGAAACAAGCCGGTCCTGAAAGTGTTAACGAGATTTTTAATACGAATTTTCGAAGTACGCATTTCAACACTTCATTTTGTAATATGATGATTTCATCAGAAAAATCTGATGAAAATATCAAAATAAAATGAAACGACTATGATGTTGCTGTTTATAAGATCATTAACAAAATCAAGTTTTTTATTTTTCAAGTGCAAGGAAATAAATATGAATAGAAAGTTTTTCAGACTGCGAAGTCATCATTTGTTTTCTGCTCAACAGTGTAAAACTAATTGTTAATTATTGCGAACGATGAGTGTCACTAACGTTGGTATAATCAAATGTAAAATAGATATAACACCACCAATAATACCGATAACTAAACCAATTATATAGATAGTATAATTTCTTGTTTCAGTTGTCGACGGTGTTTCAATTACATAACTGCAGAATATCGGTTGACATTTTTCATAATAATTCTCGTAATTTATTGATAGATTGATCAGTTCGACCATCAAATTTTCAGTAAGGTTTCTGATAGCTGAATTGATGAAATCTTCAAACAGGAGTGATTCATTAAGTGCTTGAACAGTCATTGGCGTTGATATATAACTAAGTAACTGATCGAGACACGTCTGATTGAAAAAACATTGAAGATTAGATTGAAGTAATGATTCAACAACATAACAACCTGTGTAAAATCCTGGTATACTGAACAAACTGGTATAAGATGATACGTCATAAATCATAGACTGAGTAATACAGGTTGGTGAAACCGAACAGGAACATCCATTGTAAATATTTGAGATTGTGTGTACTTCAGTATTTTGTGCCATAAATTGATAATTTGTTTGTAAACCAGATAACAAACCATTGGCTTGAATGATTTTACGAATCATTGTGAAAGATAATAAAAAATCATTTTTGGAAAATTCCATAAATTTACTAACTCGTAACTCGATATTTGGTTGAAACATTACTGGTGGAAGGATATTTAGATTAATATATTCTTCAGAGTAAAATTTCATTAAATTGTTTTCGATAGTCTGTTGACTCAGCATACATAATGTTTGTAAAGTTTGAAATGCATATGAAGCTGTCATCCGAAAATCATCAAAAAACAGTGGACTATTATTGTCAGAAAACGAAAGTATCCATTCTTCAGATACAAAAATACTACTACAGACCGGATGTAATATGTAATCAATTTCAAGAATTTTACCATAATTCATCGATGGTTGGGTACATGGGCATGTCAATGTTTCTGAATAATCCGAATATAATAAAAAATATTGCTGCAGAGTTGGATTGGAAACACGAATGGTACTTGGGATATTGTTTTTAACAATTGCATTTTGAAAATATATTTTGATGATATACACAGGAAATGCCAATGATAAGATAAACAGAAAAATGCCTAATCCTATAGAGATCCTCTTGATACGATGTTGACGTTGATCGACTATGGATGGCATGACTAAATTTAATAAAGAAAAGATTTGAAATATTTCTAAGAGAACACGTACTATTTGTTGAAACGACTTTCGCCATTGGAAGAATAGATTCGAATTAAAATTTTTTTCTAAAACATGAAATGAAAGCTGATACGATGTTGGAAAATTATTCAAACAATGATTTTTGTCAGAACTAATATAATATTTTTCAGTAAAAAAACATTCTTTCAAATGATAACTTTAGAATATTTTCTTATTATCTTTGTTTCAATGAGATATTTCATAATTTCCGGAAGAAAAAAAAACGATTTGTCGTATACACATATATTTTGAGATATAATATAAATTTTCTTTTACGCACTTCTACGAATCTATGATATTTTTCATGATATTTTTATTTTGAAACTAATTAGAATCAAATCAAGAAAATACATTTGAATACTAAGCTTTCCATATCGCAAAACGAAAAGCAACGATTTTGATTGTGAAAAGGTGTTTTTATATGCTCCTTTTATGACAAATTTAACCAGTCGTGGCACAATTAATTGTATGAGGAAAATAACACCACCAATATTGTTCACTGTTTATTTCAAAATAGTTATCATAATGCATAAAAATACTGTTTTACGATAGAGAAAAAGTGAAAAACCGTAACAAAAAAATGGTAATTCTAGCAATCCATACCATTTTAAGTGGTCGAAAAGAATTTACATTTGTTGTAAAACTAAAACTTACGCACCATAAAGAAAATTTGAATCTGTAAGAGTCGAAAACTATCGACTATATTAGTACTAAAAAATAAAGAGAAAACGTGCAGAAAAAAAACTTACTTTGACAAAACGAATAGTTTTATGATCAATGAAAAAATGCAACTGATATGACGTATCTGCTTCAATAAAAATTGCATTGAAATGTTATAGTCTCAAATATTAAAAAAAATATGAACAAAATAGTTCTACACTTGCTTTTCGAAGGAAGTTACTGTATGTACAACATTGTACTTATATACATAACGCTCAAACTGACCGTTAGAAGTTCAATCACCAGCGAGAAATTTTTAATAATAGATTTCGCTTGATTTTTAGATAGGATCTTACTAAATATCGCAAAACCACTTTCCTCATAGGTTCCAGCTGTCGGAAATGACAGGATCCGATCGTTGAATGGTGTCGGATTGTTCAGGGATCCGTCAAGATCCTGTGGGATGATTTCGCCCTGGGTTTATCAAAGCCAATCAAAATGGTCAAACAAAAACTTATCACCGAGATAGAACAATGAATAAATATCAAATAAAAGTACCTGTATTAATTCAATTTATGCAATGGTATCTCTTTTGGGTAGTAAAATGTGCATCGAAAACTGGAAAAATATCGACTGAATTTATTCAAGTTGTAAATCAATTGAAAAGTCCAATTGTATTATTTAAACCAGCGACAATATTAGCAGCGTATTTTACAGCATTAACGAACTATTTGACTTTTGCGAAGACATTGAATATTCAGGTGTTTGCCATATCTTCGAAAAGAAATATACAAAATGAAAAATAAAACTGCAGTGAATAGCAAGCTCGATTGCGAATAGAGTCATATATTCATTAGTTTTTTTTCTTCGATGAATTCCGACCGCATCTAATGATGTTTATTATGTTTGATTTGATCGAAAACAGGAATACATGTCTTACAAATTTCTTCAATATGACGATAGTCTGTTCCGCAACATCCACCAAATATGTTTAAATTCGTCAGTTTATATAAAAGAGTTCGATTATCTGCACCAAATTCTGGTGGATTCCCATCATCCAGTTCTGTACTTTCGTCGAGTTCAGCGTGACTCTTTTTAGAAGCGTTACCTTGAACACCATGGATTCTTCTGCTCCAATCTTCTCCGGAATGAAAGATATGTGCGAAATTACTTGGATGTGCACAATTTATTACATAATAGAGAGGCGTCTTGTCAGTAGCTCTGTCGACAAGCTCAATAGCTTCCTGTAATGTTTGTCCTGTTGCTAATTTTCCATCTTCTTCAACTGTAAATGAAATGACAATAGGCATTCCAACTTGCTTTGCAGCGCGTACCATTCCAATAGCTTCTTCCGGATAATTCATTGTTGTTCCTGTAATCATATCTGCCTTTGTTTTACTCAAAATTTCGATTTGTCTTGCATGATAGGTTTGTGCTTCTTCCGATGACATGAGCACGCCAGGTTTGTAACCATCTGCGCGTGGACCAATAGATGCATTGAAAACGATTGGACATTTTTCTGTTTCGTACTCCGTCCGAATGTCATCGAGTATCTCTATCGACTTCTGATTAACATAAACTAGATCATCTTCTGCATAACCAAGATTGCTCAACCAATCAGGACTAGCACGCCATGTTACATTTTCCAAAATAAGTCCAATATTATATTTTCGAGCAATATCAGCATACTTACCCAGATAATTTCTTAGCCAATCACATCCAGATTCATCTTGCAAGATAATGAATGCAGCAAAACAGGGAAGTTCGCGTTTTTCATGGAAAATCAGAGTGGTCTCCAAACCACCATTTGTAATGAAGAAATCACTCGATAATTGCGGCAGTTGATTTCTATACTTAGCCATGATTATCTGAAATTATTGTTCAAAATCAAACCTTAGAAACACATATCTAATCCGGAAATATTAAACAGTAACGAAAATAAAGTTCCCATTTTGGTTACCTTTACACCTTGCTTCTGAAGAAATGTCTATCAGTTAGTGTTTACGTTCTTTATCTTTCTCCTTTGCTCCCGTACCTGCATCTGATTAACGACTTTCAAAGAGAAACAACGTACTTGTTTTATCTTTGTACTTGATATGTAGCAGTATCCATAAGCAGTGACGACTGCATTTTATTACACAGCATGATAGAGCAAAAAAGCGATTTTCTTATTCTGTCATGTGATCTGACTTCACGTGCTTTTATGATGAAAAACTTTTAACAAGACTAGTTTACCTAACATGTGTCACGATTACAGAGTTACAAATTATTTTGAATAAATATTCTCTTCTCCCATCGCGCTAAGCCTCTATATCGTCATAGCTGAAAATTGAAAATATTCAGATAAAGATTCCAATCATCTATTTATCAAAGTATTTTTCGTACTCGTGTTTGCAAAGTCACTAAAATAATCATTGAAATTTGAGGTAGATTTTCGAAAACAAAACCACCAGATGCGTCAATCGCTATGGCTTGTTTCATTTTAAATAGAAGCTCTTTTTTCAAGTCATTGTACTGAAGAACAAACAAATCTACTTTAATGACGTCTATCGACATCCTACGTTTCTATCTGAACATCTGCAGATTGATGTTATAATTTCATAATTTTGACATCACCTTATCCATTTGTGTTCGAAAGATCTCAAATGCCATGACGCAAAGTATAACAAACAGCATTCACAAATATGGAGTAGCTGCCTAATTCGACTGATAATATAAGTGACGAATTCCTAATACACTCCTACACATACTTAGGAATAGATAGTAATAGATTTAACTATGCCTAAGCCCACCCTCATGTGTGTTTAGAAATAGATTTTGTTATACATAGTCTCAGGAATACTCTCAGCCGAACTATATGTCAGCCTATGTCCATCGGTATACACAGGTATAACTAAATCTATTCCTAAACGTGTAGGATTATATAGATATACATCTATTTATATTCGAACTGAGATTAGTCTATCAGATGTTCATTTATAATATAAGTCGAATTAGGCAACTCATGATTTAGTGGTAGTTGGGTTTGCTACTATAATTTAGTCAGCATGCAGTCTCAGGGACAAGAATCACAAGCTTTGAATATGAAAACTATCACCCCATGGTGCAATGAGAACACAAGCGAAAACAATTCACGAATATCACAGGTTACATGCTAAAACAGATTTTTCTTTTAACGAATGTTAAAAAAGTTCAGTAACTGTCGAAAAAATGTTCTCCGGAAAAAAACAGAAAGTTACCCGAACTCTAAAAAAGGTTCTGAATTTGTGTCAAACCTCCTTTCATTTCAAAAGTGTAAGAAAACAACATGAAATTGGGCAGAACTTTTTTGGAAAATTCGAGTAACATTCCCTTCTTTCAGCGTTCAAAAAGCATAGAAACATTTAATAAAACGGGTCAAATAATGCGCGAAACCTTTTCCATCCGATACACAGGAAAACTTTTAAAGTTATCTAAGCGTTTTATGCTTTTGAACACTTTTCGACACCTACCAAACTTTTCTTTTGAGATTCAGTAAAGCATCAAATTTTTTTAGGAAGTTACAATTTTTTTCCGATTCCTACAATGTTTCCTTGATCCTTTGGGATATAGTGCCGCCACCTTCTGTTCCAACAGCTGTTCTTACTAACAGGTACAAGACTCCGTTTCAATGTTGTCATTTCTTTTACTTTGTGCACAATGATCCTGCCTTTATTTGTTCTTTTCTGGTTTTTCAGTCGAAGCTATGAGGGTGAGGGTGTGAGATGTAACTAGCATAATTGATTTCGAACATGTTAAATTTCATTTTCAAATGGTAAAAAACTTTAAAAAGATCAAAAAACATTATTTCAAAAACAAAATAGTGCCCAATNTCATCTAACTATAAACAAATTCGATAGATGGTGACGATAACACATATCAAATCATTGTAACGAGTTGTTGAAAAGAAACGAACATTTCATGTCGTTCATATATATTATACTTTTCTTCAGCAAAATTTCGAGAAATTCTAACAGACTGTTTTTCACTCACTGTTCCTCAGTATACTGACCATTTTAACTGATTATACGTGTGGTTGAACCCAACGGTCTATTCATCAGATGAAACTAGCATGAAAGAAACACTACTATAAATGACCCAATCAAAGAGTTCAGTTTCTGTGCCTAGAACAGTAAATCTTTTCAATAAAAGAAACAAAATCATCAAGCCAATGTGTAGATTAATGCACTCTTTCCGATAAAGTCATTGAGATTCCATTCTTGCACGTGTCGTGACAAATCGCTATTGCAAATGCAATAGCAAACATTTTTAACTAGAGAACGGCGTGAACAACTCGCAGACGTTAAGAGATAAACGCATTCGACAGAACAGCATAAGGATCGACTCTTAAATCTTGAATGCTAAACCTTCCCAGCAGAAAAGTAGAAGAATCAACCCTTATGAAGACAAGGATAGATCTTTACAATAAGGGAGCAAAATAATAAACCCTTTTTTTGAAAGAAGTGAACATTTTTCCAGCAGAAAATGAAGATATACCCTTTTTACGGAAAAGTCGAAGGATAAATCTAAAAGCGATTAATGCAATATCCTCATTTGAAAACCGTATCATACTCTACTGTCATCCGTTAAAGAACATGCCTCTATTTTGAAAGTAATATATGAGATACCTTTTTGTAGGAATTATGAACCCTTTCAGATTCAATAAACCTACAAGCCTATAAACTCTTTCGCTGATAAACATTTGAATGGTTGATCACTTCTAGATAAACCCTTGAAGGGTTTATTGGAAACTTTCGAAAGGACAAAGATAGATCGTTATCCGGATCTTTTTTTCTGTGTAGCCCCCATGTCGATAGGACACGCTAGCGACACATGTGTCGACACAATCTGTGTGACACAAAAAGATCAGTCACGCTTTGACACAGTGTCCTAGTGTGTCGACACATGTACGTCCAGCGTGTCTTGATGTGTCATTTGTTGCATTTTCTCGCAATTCTATTGGTTAGTATATTGTCTTCACTAGTAGTACATATTACTAACAGTTAGCTTTAATATTTTTGCAGCATCAGCTACCTTATATTTATTAAAAATCATAAATACACTTCAAAAAAATATTTCTACCATAAAAATCTAGAAAAAAACGGGAAATTTTTAAACCTGAACAAAAAACTGCTTAACACAAAATTTGAAAAAAAAGTTCGTAGAACTTTAACAAAAAAAAGGTCTGAAACTACAAGAAAAAAAACTACAGAAATAGGAAAAAATCTTCAATAATCTAGGAAGTACAAAAAGAATCTAAAAAATAAAAAGAAAACAACGAAAAATTCTTTCAAAAAAAAATTACTCGAGTTTATCCTTTTTTATAAAGACAAGTAAAAAGGAAACAAAAATTTGATATTGAAAAACATTATTAGTCAATATCTAAAAAGAAAAAAGAATGAACAGCTAAGTACAAGACTTGAACTTTTATATGTTCAGAAGAGACAAACCGTTTTTTTTCTTTCCTGTCCACGGTCCACACTATACCTACATATATATTAGTCATCAGAACGACACACTAGCGATACATGTGTCGGCACAGTCATACAAAAATTTCACTGTGTTAGCATGTGTCACTACATGTTCGCCCAGCGTGTCCTATCGACATGGGTGTCTGACAAATTTAGTTAATGTTACTCTTGTTCCATTTTTTCCTTCTTTTTTAAAAGTATATTCTCCTCTTCCTACAAATCGCCTCCTATTTCTCCTTTTCATTTTAATCTCAAAATCACTAAATTGAATACTGCGAAAAAAAACAAAAAACTCGATGCTGAAAAAGAATTAAATTATTGGAACAGCAATCAGAACTCATGTCGAAATATGAAAAGCTTCAATCAGAGCAAAACCATTTCAAACGTTACTCGAAGAAGAAAATCAAAGATCAGAAAGTTCATTGTAAAAAGGTGCTAAAATAGAAAAAAAACTTAGTTAATCATCAGTGAAAAATGAAGGTAACCAGATGTTCTGATAAAGAATTGTCGTTGTTATAAAGCAATCAGATCATAGGAATCAACATTAGAGTTGTATTAAATTTCTTATTAGAGATCTTCTTAACCCTCGTAAGGTGTCCTCATTTTTTACACAAAAGATGTTGCGTGGGTTCGGAAGGGCCCGCGTGTAAATAAGCTAGAAAAGTTTCATTTTTAGTGTTCTCTTTAGCAGATATGATATAGTAAACCTTAAGATATATTTTTATCGAAACCCGAATATTTAGTCTAGTAGTAATTTATAAATATGAATAATTTTGCATACATATAACTAGAGACGGTATTGGGCATATTTCAATATATAGATAACAAGATCGTCAGAAAACGATTGAAAAAAATAAACAATACATAATTTGCAATGTTGTACTAATGCATCTATGATAAATAAACTCTCCACATTATAGATGGCAGGTACAATATGCATGAAAATCATCTATATAACATAAAAGTTGCTTGGGGGGCCCCTATGGATCTATCCTTCAGTTTTTCAGTGGCACGATCTATATGTGAAATGTTATATGGTACTTGTATACCGTCAGAGGACTAACGATTAGTGGAGAGATGGACTAGAACAGGATAGATCTTTGTGTCGAAAATATGAAAAACAATGTTGTGGGTCTCATCGGGCCCACAAATACCGCACAAGGGTTAATCAATCCGAATGGTGGCATGACTTGAACTTTTGGAAAAAAGCCAATCGTAGTATTTGATTAAATCAACCAAATCCAAAGTATGAATTCAAAAAATAATAAGTAATCTGTCGATAATTTATAACGAATTAATCAATTGCTTTATTAATTGTTGTTTCTGTCTACTCTAAATTGATCTCATAAATGCCACAATAAGTATATAAGGAACTTTGTAATTTATCATTGTCGTGTATTTGTAAGACGTCTTTACTGATTATCGACGTTTCTTGCACCTAAAACTGGAGTAATTTCATTAATTGGCGATGAGCCAAAATATTTCTTTCATAGTGTATGAAACTTGGCGGAAAATTTTTGCATCTTTATACAATAAGTAAAATGAGCAAACATTGTTTTACCAAAATCAACTGGTGTTATTTCTTGAATGAGGGATTGAATAATTCTATCGCGTATCAAATTGTAGTTGGTGACACTAAGCGCTCCATGAATGTCAAATTTAGAAAGGACATTTTTGAATTGTTCATAAATGAGGTCACCAGGATATTTATTCAATAGTAAGGCCATTCGTAATGATTCTCGTTCATTCAAACATGCTTCAAATGTTCAACAATAGCGAATGACTCTCAACAGCATGGTAAATAGTATATTCTTTATCATATGGAATGGGTGAATACTGTTAAACGGTAGATAATATGGTTCGTGTGATGGTTTGTGATGACCTAAAGTAAACAATTGATCATCTTGATTTTCATATGTAAATTAAAAAATCGCCATTGAAACTACGTAGTTCGTTTCCAAGGATATTCAGAGCGAATCTTTAAGTTCAGCTTTCAAATTTTTCTCAAGGGCATATGAGGAGGTTTGTTCTCAGAGAAAAAGAGCAAGATAATAAAAGGGCGTAAAGGTTGTAAAACAATCGAATAAAACTTGATTATGGTCTTCTGAAATTCTCTTCTCTGAATAAAAAAAAAATATCGACGAAATTCGTTGGTTAATCTGCCGTTTTATTTTTGTTGCTTTATATTCTTCATATTGTGTTGAGGTAGGGAGAATGAATGCAACTTCGCAAATAGATAGTCAACTATCAAATATTGATTCTTGCCGATCGAAATCGGATATAGCAGCTGCACTATTTAAAGCTAATATCAAACAAATATGGCAAATTTTAAGCGTTTTATTGTTGTTTATCATTCTTTGCTCTCTTGTTGGATTGATCTTAATTATTATTGCCGACAGAACCGATAATTCAAACATGATTCTTCTTGGTTTCATTCTATTAGCAATCGGACTTGTTTTGGGATTTGCCTTTTTAATTAGTTATTGCTTATATAAACCATCAAATATGAAAAATATGGAGCTTTGTGTGCTCGAATTAAAAGATGAACAATGGTCTCGTTATCTTGCTTATTTTTTCGCTAAAAAAAATCAATACATTGGTTGCTCGAGGTGTCGAATTGTCTGTAAAACACGGAGAAAAGCGCTTGAACACAGAGGTTTTGGTCATGTTGTGATTAGTCGATCTGGATTTATGATTGATGAACTATATTATGCAACTTTTGCAATGTACAGTGTATTAAATGTTGATCGTCTAACAACAAAAGATGAGAGTAATATCGAAGATTCATTGATTCGTTTACAGATAGCTCCTCGTCTTCGATATGCAACATTCATGGGCGAGATACGTAAATTTAACATCGATATATTTATTCCACCTAATTTACCTTCTGATTATATAACAAATATTATGACATATTTATCATCAAAAGGTGATATTTTATAATTACAATAAAATACACCGAATACATTGCAAGTAATGCTCATCTTTGAATGCACTTACTCTTTTTTGAAAGAATTATAATAATGAACAACAGATTCATATTCTCTAAGTAACCATTATTCAATAGAAAGTTATTCTTATGACATCATGCGCGCAAGCGGTTGTCGATAACAAAAGAGGATAATTGCCGAGAGCAAGCCTCGCACTTAGTTTATTTTGGATAACGAGGGAACATTCCCAGATGTTTCCGCCACCGATTTCAATGATGTTTTGTCTGAAGACACGATATAGTACCATCATACAAATCCTAAAAGGATTTGAGTTGATATTTATTCCTTCGAAAATCATAGGGATGTAATTTCACCTATTATTAGTTTAATATAACGAATATATAGAAAAATAAATAATGACACCAGATATCCGATAAAAACACAGGCTCTTCTCTTTTCCAATGTGATATGAAGTTTATAAATGAACAAGATGTTTCATTTCGGCGATTTTCTTCTCATAATTAAACGATAAAAGTCGTTCTTAGCGACAGAAATAGAGAAAATACTGTCGATGGATATTTAAAAATTTTTTATATATTCATTACATTACTTCAGTACATTAGCATCCAGAAATGTTTTGTTTTGTATATCTTTCAAGAATGTTACCATATCAAATATCGCACTTTTTAATCTATCATTGAATCAGTCAGTTAAGACAAGTATAACAATAGCAACAATGAAAGATAATTTATTTTAATTTTCATTCTTAAGAAATGAATATTCTGAATTTCAAGAAAATATTACCTATTAAAATCATTGTGCAATGAATTGTTGTAATTCTGATCTTTTATCTCATCTTCTCAAGATTTGAAACAGTAAAGATTTGGCGTCTTATCACTCGATGAAATATGTTTGGCAATAAACTGTTTTTATTGTAGCTTTCAAGCACTAGTATGCTTTTTGCAATATTTATCAACTCATAATCATCGAATGCAGACATTCTTGGAATAGAATATGTACGATCGTTTAAACTCACGAGTTTCGAAAGTGTAGTGTGCCATGTAGGTTCTGATAAGCCAGGAATATATCGAAAGGGGCTCTTATAGTTAGTAGTTTACTATCGAGATGGTTCATTTCTACAGTGTGTTTGAGAGAAACCCTTGGATTTATTGGACTCGACATAATAATACAGTAGTTTAAAAACTTTTTAATAATAACTATTTCTCGATTTTCAAGTATCATCGTATGATCTTTGAATTTGTTTTAGATGTCTATGTTTACTACTGAGTTTATAGTAAATCGAGTTGCAGAACGTCAAACAGTACCCTTTGATGATCCCAGAAAACCGAGAGCTAATATATCAGCCATTCAATCGCATTTATCACTTTTCTATCGAAAACTCATCATTATATTCATCTGTTTTTTCACTTTCATCATTGGATTGAGTGCAACAGCTATTGGAATTCTTGGAATTACTCGTCATTGCAAGGTATATCGACAACCATCAATTCCTGTTTGGTTGTTGGTTAGTGGAATATTATTGTTGATACTCTCCATCTGGATTACTACAATGGTAAATTTTTGAAAGATCGAATTTACTATATAATAATTATTCGATCACCTCTTTAGATATGTGCTTCTATTACTTGCAAATATAAATCAGGTGATGGAATATTTAAGTCTTCGATAGTTATTGCTCTTTTTGCTGTTAATATGCTTGTCACCGTGTGGACTTTTGGATCGGTAAGTATAAATAGCGTCATTTCAAAATTATACATTTCGAGATTTTTAAAAGAGTATTACTTCAATGTTCACTGATCCTGATTTATCGCTAGAATGTCTTGGATTCATCTATGACTATGGATGGGCGCACTTTACTATTATGTTTATATGTCTTATGATTTATTCTATATATTGGTGTTGCATGGCTACGAAAACAGTACACGGTCAATTTTGTTGTAAGAAGAAAAATCTTCAGTCTCAAGCTGACCTGCCGATCTTTAATTCAGAGCAAGCAGTTATAACACAATGTAATATGGGACAACACGATGTAGCTATTGCAGTACCGAATGTTCCAACTAGAAACATATGACTTATTTGAGGATAAGAATGAATTGATTATTATTCTATGAAAGAAATAATTGTTTTATGCTTAACATAGTAAAGACGAAGATTTCATGTATTGCGTGAATGACGTCATGCTTGAAAACATGATTTTGAAGGTGAATTCGCGTACATTAGAGCGATTTCAATATTACCATGTATAGGATCTGTAGTAATTTGTTCAAATTTGAATAATGGAAATGGTAATAGTAAGACTTCTTCTTCATCTGGAAAATGTGCTATATTTTCGAGATCAATTGCAGGCACAAATCTGTCTATAAATATACAAAATCAAAATGACAGCACATTTCCGAGTAGCTGCCTAATTCGACTTACAATATAAGTGACCAATTCCTAGCACCCTTAGGAATAGAAATAGATTTAGTTTTACTTATACATATATACCCTCACCCTGGAATTCTGTAACAAAGGTTTGCATTCAAACGCGAGGTATTAGTTTTGATGATTTCTATTTGATTGCAACAGATTATTTTCGTCATGTACAAGTTTTAAATGTTATGATATATCCATATGTATTGCAAAACAGTAATATGGAATATTTAGATGCTTATCGATGGGAAAGATTGATTTCAAATTGTATGCCTCAGTTGCGTTCCTTTAATCTTAAACATATGTATTATGTGGGACGTGGAGAGTTCGATCGGTTAAAGTATGGGATATGGATTGACAAATTTAATTCATCGCTTTGGATGATACATAAATAGTTCTTTGAGTGTGAATTTAGTGAGATGAGAAAGATCCTCGTTTTTTTCTCAAAAAGATCTCGATGAAAAACGCACGATGAATCATTAATCATCATATTTATTTACAAAATTTACAGACAATTAAACAATATTGTTAAGAGATTATCCAGATCACCCTTTTTAGTGTTTACATATAAGTTTTTTGTGTTTTCTTTTCACACGAATTTATTCTCAGACTTAAGGATGGGTAAGTGTGGATTAGTCTTCACGCTGAAGGCTCACTCACACCCTCATATAGCAGAACGTGCAAAAGCGTTGGATTTTATATCAGCTGATTGTGATATTGTTTTATACCGTTCATCATGGTCAATGTACTTACTCTGAAGACTTCTTATTCGTTTGCAAACAAAGACAGCACTATAGTCAAGTGCATACGGTCTTTTTTGACTGAAAAGAAACAACAACAGAAAGCTGAACCTAGCTTTTCAAGGAAGAGCTGTCAGCCCAAATCCTTACGGACTTTTCTCTATCTTGATATCCTCTACTAAGCAATATGTGAATGAAGGGAATTGGCATAGGTCTCTTTTGTCATGAGAATCGAGCCATGAGATTATTTTATCTTGAATTGTTAATTCAGTCAAGGATCAAGCGAGTTACTCTTGACGAGCGTCTTGTGGTCCAGATATCCTTAATCATTATCTTCGTTATCGTTAAATAAAGATTTATTATGAAATTTGAGCATATTTATTTCAAATTTGTTTGAAAGTTATAGAAAATTTTCTTTTAACATCAATTAATCTTTGTTGACAAGAATAGAATCATATGAAAATAGTACATCGATTATCTTTATTCGTTATTAACATGATGAATAATTAACAACAACAATACTTTTTGTTCAAATATTACTAAATGTTATAATTATTTTTTCATATATAATTCAGTTGACAATTATCGTCCACTCAGTTCTATTAAATAATTTCTCAATTAATTGTCAATATAATTTTGTTTTCATTTTCAGTATCTTCTATATATATAAAGAAGAAAGTTTGTCTGTCTGTCTGTCTGTTCGCTATGCATTCAGTCCCTGTAGCAGCTATCGGCGTGAAACTTTCCACAATGCTTCCTGAGACCCAGAGGAAGGTCGACATCTACGTTTCCCCAAGAACAAAGGAACCAACCGTTTGCTGCAGGCAATATATGAAACGGACCAATAGGAATGCGAGATTTCCAAAATTGAGAAAATTAATAGCGAAGGCGGCCGAAGGCCGTCTGAGCGCTCATAGACAACAATCCACGTGTTCTCTACGCCTATGATAGTTCGGTGAATGCTACAGATAATTTGCGAAACTCACCAATAGCGTTACAGGATCTCAAAAGATTAAGACAAATGCTGAGGGTGGGCGAATTCGAAGGATATAAGGTATGAAATGACGTGAGAGTGAGAAAGAGGTCGATCAATGAATAGCTGGAGTGGAAAATGAATATTAGAGAAAGAGGAAATTTTCATAATTTCTGAGGCAGAAATTGGCTTCGGCAACTCTTTTGCATAAAAAGATATAGCCGAAACTGCCATTTTATCCGATGCACGGCGGGAAAATAAGGAGTGGAAGCGTAGAAATTTGAATTGTACTGATTTTATACCTGTTATAGCTCTTCAACGCGTAAGATGTTCGACATAGATATTTCTTATTTGCAGCGGGTACTCCCTCTAGTTAATTTATATTTAACTTTTTTTTGTGCAGCAAATATTGATTTCGTCCTTATTGCACATATAATTGAAAATAACTTTATGTTTATATGTGCACATTTGAACAATTTTGTCATCAACTCCATTATGTTCTATCTGATATTTATTGAAAATGGTAACATCGATAAAATGATCTTGTTGATCAAGTAACTTATGTATTCGCAAATAATCACATAGAATGATTAACTAATTATTAACAGAAACAAAAAGATTTACTATTACATTCAAAAGTATTACTAAGTTATATAAATTTTATAAATATAAATATGAATTGTAAAAGAAATATAATGAAAAAAGATTAATTCTTAATTGACTCAATGTGTCATACTTTTTTATCTTTCTAACAAGTCCGGGAATACATTTCATTATTGAATAATACGACATGAGATAAATTATATTAAAAACAGGGTCAAGTTGCAAAATCATAGAAAATTTCTTCTAATCTTCACTCGCGAGAATTGAATTCTAAATCTATAATATTTAATAATATTCATCTTAATCTTTTTTCAGGAAAATTTCCTGTAAAATATTAACAAAATTTATTATCATAGAAAAAGAAAAAAAATGAATCGACATAAATTTTCATTTACATAAAAATATATGTTTGACTTGAGAACGAAATGTTTTTGATATAAATAAATTTCCAAAAAAATTTGCACATAATGATAAATATGAAATAAAAAGTGCAATATTACGAATAAAATAAATGACTATTGTTTCTGATTCACTCTGTGCAATTTGTTGATAAATACCAACAAGTGATAAAAATAAAGTAAATGTTATATAAATAATTATTTCCATTAATAATATTAAAGTAAATTGACGATTTTTAGTTAAAACAGAATGTTCTCGATCTCCCGATAGATTTGTGTTTCCAGTTCTAATTGGTATAACTCGATTTCTATGAACTATTCGAAGATTTTTCCATGTCAATATTCCAAAGACAATTAACAATAAAGGCATCAATATTCCTTTGATTATTGTCCCATAATAAAAAAGAAGATTTCGATACAATTCTGATTGAAAATAACATACAAAATAACCCGGTAATACTTCTTGAAGATTAATAAAAATAAACATATGTATATGAAATAACATCCAAAATAGAGTTCCAATTAAAATACATAGAAAAGCAAGACGATATGTACTTCGTTGTCGTGTAAGTGCATTTGGTGATGTTACTATAAAACGATCAATTGATGCTAAAATTAAGTAAAATGCACCAAGAGTATCAAATAATATTGTACAATAATAAATAAAACGACAACCAATAAGACTATGTGTGCTTAAATCAATATTATAACCAATTGCTAAAACGAACATCAATACTGATGAATAAATATAAATTAAATTTGATAGATTAACGCATCGGAAATAAATGGCACATGGATTTTTACGTAATGCTTTTTTAGAAAAGACTAATAAACTAAGCGCACAACATATTGTACCAATAGGGATGATGATTGGACCACCGTATCCAAATAAATTCTTTTGTACAGATGATAAATATGTTATATAATCCATTAGTATTGAGAATACTTGAAGAGTGAATGATTGTATGAGAAAAATATTTGCTCAACTCAGAAGACCATATAGAACTAAAACATTTTACTTGAGGGTGTATCCAAAAGTAATGTCGTCTCTATTTTATTTCTTAATTAAACGGGCAAAAAAAAATTCTTTTTCTACAGAAAGATAGAGAAAATGAAGCTCTGTTTTTCTATGCTATTTGATTCTTCTTTAGTTAATCCTATAGTAATAAGTTTTCGATGTGAATTATGTTTGTGTAAAACTTAAGTCACGAAAAAGTCATTGTGAATGTTCACATATTGTATTTTGTTTTTTCATTTAGTATTTTTCATCAAAGATTAAACATACCAGAAGATGGCGCGTGAAAAACTCTACAATTTACAAAGAACAATTTGTTTTTATTAGGTGCTTTTTATTTTCAAAAAAAGAAAAAATTCTGCGTAATCAACTTTCATGGAACTTTGAAAACGAAAAGTACATAATTAAAATAAACTGTTCTGTGTAATTTGTAGAGGTTTACGCGCGATCTCCTGGTATATTTAATCTTTGATGAAAAATACTGAATGAAAAAACAAAATACAAAATGCGAACACTCACAATGGCCTTTTCGTGACTTAAGTTTTACACAAACATAATTCACATCAAAAACTTATTATTATAGGATTAACTAAAGAAGAATCAAATAGCATAGAAAAACAGAGCTTCATTTTCTCTATCTTTCTGTGGAATAACAATTTTCTTCTGACTTTTTAACAAAGGGATAAAATAGAGACGACACTACTTTTGGATACACCTAGGTACATTATGTTAATGAATATTTATGAAAGTCATTTTTCCTAAGATAAATTATTTTATAATAGTTTTAAGATCACCAAGAGGGCAAAGTACTTCTTTGAATAGGAAATGATATTACGATGATGAAAAGATAAAATTTTTGAAAGATGAAGGCAGACTCTATCAAGTTGCGTTTATTTATTTTATTGAAAAATTGATATTTAGCTACTTTTTTATATGTTTAATTTTAAAGATAAAATTTCGCGGAAACAAATATTTTCAACCAATCTTTCATATGTATCTTATAGTGAACTGCATTCTAAACAATTTTAACTCCAACTCCATAAAAAACAGTATTGGAGTTCCAGCCAAAACTCCAATTTTTTTCGATAGATTGGTGACATCTTGACAATTATGTTGTTTAGAATGATCCATGATAAGACGAATTAATGAGCGAATAACAATGGTTCGTCTTTCTTTCATATATATATATATATATATATATATATATAAGTAGCGTTCGTTGTGCCGACTAAAAGGTCTTTTTGATTGTGAATTTATCACCAGTAATGTTGGTCGTGTACTCTCGCTGAACGCTTGGCTGATTTTATTCCCATTGTACTCTTGTCATTAGAACTATACAAAAGATGTATCAATCCGCCTTATCGATTGGGCCGCATAAGAAATGCATCTAAGACGCTAAATGCATGGTTCATACATCCTAGACATCTAATTTCCCAGTCTAACATCGCGCGATAGCTATCGATCCATTTTATGATTTGCGACAATTATCAATCAGCCTCATCTATCTCCACGCGCTAACCGTGAAGTTTCTGTCATTTCTTGCCTTCAATCATGACATAGATAGACACCATTCAAACTACTTTTTCTCAACCGGCCATGTGGCTACTCTTCGTCCGTATTCCCAATACAGTATTCACTTAGCTAAAGTATCGAGTTAGTAAATTCTTAGTTGAGGTATCAAGCCATATCTCGACGCTATAAATATGCTCTTCCCTCGACCATTGGTTCGATCGGAAAAGACTACTCTTCAAATGGCAAATATTTCGAGAAAAATGTTTTTTTTGACCTTTCACTCTTGGCACTTGGCCCTCGCCCACGTTTTGCCACAAAGAAACTATTTTATTTCATATGACCCTCCTTACAGTCGAGGGAAACTCTCTTTT